AAGACGTATATGTACAGCCGAAACAGTCAAAGGGTTGTACTACGAAAGATGTTAGTTTGATGTAAAGTAAGTTTGATGTCTAAGTAACGTTAATACTGGCCCAATTCCAGGCTCCAGAAGTAGAACTCTCGGAATTCATCATAGGTATGTATTAGGTAGACTGGAAATACATGTATAGGTAAGGCAAGGAACTGGAGTTGAATGTTTGGGAGAGGAGAAAGTCCATTTAGCACGTGAGAAGTTTATAAAACAGGAAAGGTAGTCAAAACGAGAGAAGAAATTGCAATGGGTGGAAATTTCCGAGTCAAAGAACTGAGGGTCACAGATGCAGAGGGCATGGAGAGAGAGAGAAATAAGAGCACTCTTCTTGACAGAGGAAGTATGGTAAGAAAAGTAGTGGATGTACATGCCACTGTGCATAGGCTTGTGATAAACAGAAAAAGAAAAGCCTATAGCCAAGCGTTGGATATGTACATCAAGGAAAGGAAGGAAAGCATTAGATTCCCATTCAGCTTTAAACTTGATGGAAGGAGCAAGATTGTTAAGAACATTAAGAAATGGTTGGAAGAGACTAGAGTCATGGGACCAAAGAGCAAAGATGTCATCTACATAGTGGAGCCAGAGTGAAGGGTACACACCAACGGTAGCAAGTAGAATTATTTCAAAGTATGCCTTACAAAGGTTATGATGGGCCAGGCTGTTACTGATGGATTAAAGTACATAAGAACATAAGAAAGGAGGAACACTGCAGGAGGCTTGCTGGCCCATACTAGGCAGGTCCTTTACAATTCATCCCACTAACAAAACATTTGCCCAACCCAATTTTCAATACCACCCAAGAAATAAGCTCTGATGTGAAAGTCCCACTCAAATCCAACCCCTCCCACTCATGTACTTATCCAACCTAGATTTGAAACTACCCAAAGTCCCAGCCTCAATAACCCAACTAGGTAGACTGTTCCACTCATCAACTACCCTATTTCCAAACCAATACTTTCCTATGTCCTTTCTAAATCTAAACTTATCTAATTTAAATCCATTACTGCGGGTTCTCTCTTGGAGAGACATCCTCAAGACCCTATTAATATCCCCTTTATTAATACCTATCTTCCACTTATACACTTCGATCAGGTCTCCCCTCATTCTTCGTCTAACAAGTGAATGTAACTTAAGAGTCTTCAATCTTTCTTCATAAGGAAGATTTCTAATGCTATGTATTAATTTAGTCATCCTACGCTGAATGTTTTCTAACGAATCTATGTCCATTTTGTAATACGGAGACCAGAACTGAACTGCACAATCCAGGTGAGGCCTCACTAATGATGTATAAAGCTGCAGTACGACCTCTGGACTTCTGTTGCTTACACTTCTTGATATAACTCCCAGTAATCTATTTGCCTTATTACGTACGCTTAGGCATTGCTGTCTTGGTTTAAGGTTGCTGCTCACCATAACCCCCAAGTCCTTTTTGCAATCTGTATGGCTAAGTTCTACATCATTTAACTTATAAGTACTAGGGTTATGGGCACTCCCAAGCTTCAGAACCTTGCATTTATCTACATTGAACTGCATCTGCCACTTTTCTGACCAAGAATAGAGTTTGTTTAAATCCTCCTGAAGTTCCATAACATCTACGTTTGAATCATTATCCTACCTATCTTTGTGTCATTGGCGAATTTGCTCATATCACTAGTAATTCCCTCAATCAAGATCATTGATATATATTCTAAACAAAAAACGGGCCCAAGACTGATCCCTGTGGAACGCCACTTGTTACAGATCCCCACTGGGATTTAACCCCATTTATGGACACTCTCGCTTCCTGTCAGTGAGCCATGACTCGATCCACGAGAGCACTTTTCCCCAATGCCATGAGCTGCCACTTTCTTTAACAGTCTATGGTGCGGAACTCTATCAAAAGCCTTACTAAAATCTAAGTAAATAATATCAAATTCTTTATTGCAGTCAACAGCCTCAAAAGCTTTACTGAAGAAAGTTAATAAATTAGTTAGACAAGACCGGCCTCTTGTGAATCCATGCTGAGTATCATTAATCAAGCTATGCTTATCGAGATGGCTTCTTATAATCTCGGCTATAATTGACTCTAGTAATTTGCCTACAATTGAGGTCAGGCTTATTGGGCGGTAATTTGACGGTAACGACTTGTCCCCTGTTTTAAAAATAGGAGTTACATTAGCCATCTTCCACATATCAGACACTACACCTGTTTGAAGAGATAAATTAAAAATATTAGTTAATGGTTCACAGAGTTCCATTTTGCATTCCTTAAGAACCCTTGAAAAAACTTCATCAGGACCCGGCGACTTATTTTGCTTCAGTCTGTCTATCTGCTTCACAACCATCTCACTAGTAACTGTGATGTTACATAATTTATCTTCTTCTAGCCCACTGTAAAAATTAATTACTGGAATATTGTTAGTGTCTTCCTGTGTAAAAACTGAGAGAAAATAATTATTTAAAATCAAGGACATTTCATTCTCTTTGTCAGTAAGGTGCCCATAGTTATTTTTAAGGGGGCCTATCTTATCTCTAACTTTTGTTCTATAGACCTGGAAAAAACTTTTTGGGTTAGTTTTAGAATCCCTAGCAACTTTAATTTCATAGTCCCTTTTAGCTTTTCTTATCCCCTTTTTAATGTCCCTCTTAATGTCAATATACTGATTAATAAGATGACCCTCACCTCTTTTGATACGCCTATAAATTCCTTTCTTATGCCCTAGTATATATTTGAGCCTATTATTCATCCATTTTGGGTCATTTCTATTTGATCTAATTTCTTTATATGGGATAAACGCTCTTTGAGCAGCATGTATAGTGTTCAGAAAACTGTCATATTGATAGCTCTCTTCGTTACCGCCCAGTCAACAGATGATAAGTGTTCTCTAAGCCCATCGTAATCTGCTAAGCGAAAATCTGGGACTGTTACTGAGTTATCGCTACTATCGTACTTCCATTCAATGCTAAATGTAATTGATTTGTGGTCGCTAGCACCCAGTTCCTCTGAAATTTCTAAATAATTAACAAGGGATTCATTGTTTGCCATAACTAAGTCAAGTAGGTTATTTCCCCTTGTAGGTTCTGTCACAAACTGCTTCAAAAAACAATCCTGAAATACTTCTAAGAAGTCGTATGATTCTAAATTCCCAGTCAAGAAATTCCAATCAACATGACTAAAGTTAAAGTCTCCTAGAATAACTACATTATCGTGCCTTGTGGCCTTAACAATTTCCTCCCATAGTAGTTTCCCTTGGTCCCTATCTAAGTTTGGGGGACGGTATATCACTCCTAAAATCAGTTTTTCATGCCCCTCTGAAAATTCTATCCAAACAGACTCTGTATGTGTTACTTCAGACTTAATACCCGTTTTTATGCAACAGTTCAAGCGATCTCGGACATACAATGCCACCCCACCCCCCCCCTCCCAATACTTCTATCTTCTTGGAACAATTTAAAACCCTGAATATGACATTCTGCAGGCATGTCCCGACTTTTTGAATTAAACCACGTCTCAGTTAAGGCAAATACATCAATGTTACCTACACTAGCAACTAATCTCAACTCGTCCATCTTATTCCTAGCACTACGGCAATTGCATAATAAACATTGAAAGACTCTCCTTTCTCTTTACCCTTCCTGCTCATTTCTATTTTTTCTACTAAACCTATTACTGTCCTTATCACCCAAGGTCCCTGGCTTTTCAATATCTATCTCGTTCTTATTATTACTAGTTCCCCTAGAACTCGTAATATTACTACACTGGGACTTCACTGTTTTCCTGCCAAAACCCATACCACTAACTATTCCTAGTTTAAAGTCCTAACTGCTCCCTCCACTGCAGTTGCCAGTGCTCCCACCCCACACCTAGATAAGTGAACCCCATCCCTAGCATACATGTCATTTCTGCCATAGAAGAGGTCCCAGTTGTCGATGAATGTTACCGCATTTTCCTTACAGTATTTGTCTAGCCAGCAATTGACACCAATTGCCCTGGACAACCATTCATTTCCAACTCCTCTCCTTGGCAAAATACCACATATGAGAGGGTTCCCACCCTTACTTCTAATTATTTCTATTGCTGACCTATACCTGCTAATCAGGTCCTCACTCCTACATCTGCCAACATCGTTGCCTCCAAAAGTTGCCTCCAAAGTAGATCACATACCCTAATAATAGCAAGTACAGATGCTCCTTGCTTTATGATGGTTCAACTTAGAATATTTCAGCTTTATGATGGTGAGATAGCGATGCACATCGGTAGTTATCGAACTCTGAAATTTGATCAGTTTCCGTTTGTTTGTTTCATTAATGGTTTGCAGATGATAGAAGGAATGGAAGTCAATTATGAGAGAGTTGCAAAATTTGAAAGACATGTACAGGATGCTCTTGCTTGCTATAAAGAAACTGATAATGAAAAGAAGCAAATTGTTCTGTCAAAACTTGATATCTTCCTGAAGCAGTCTGAGCCTGTTGGTGAACCATCAACCAGTGTTAACGACCCAGTGACTTCCTCCCCACCATCTTCCAGCAATTAATGTTAGTTCTGTGCTTCACAACATCCTTGAGGCCCAGTGTACTTTCACGTGACTACAATATATCACTACACGTACTGTACCAATATCATCTGTGGGTAATCAAGTCATTGTATTGTAAAACTTTTTTTTGTACTTAACAGTACACTGTACATGTATTGATATTTTAACTTGTATTCATTTACTTTTCAATACTGTAAGTTACAGTAATTTTATTTATTTATTATCACACTGGCCGATTCCCACCAAGGCAGGGTGGCCCGAAAAAGAAAAACTTTCACCATCATTCATTTATCATATAATACATTCATATTCGACTTGTGATAGGATTTTCAACTTACAATGGGCTCATGGGGACATAACCCCATCATAAGTCGAGGACCACCTGCAACACTTTTGAAGTATCCCATAAGAAGGTTAGCAAGAGGAGAGCCTATAGCAACACTGAACCTTTGAGAATAAAATTAACCTTGCTAGTGTATTGTTGCAGTCAGGGTATTGTGCTTGTTTATTGTTTATCTCCACAGATGATCCATCATCACCACAACGCAGGTCACCGAGGGACTTTCTCTTGAAAGTACCAGACAGTGAAGGCTCTGATGGTGGTGGCGGCAGCAGTGGTCGACCCCCAGAGCATGTACCCCAGGACAAGCGCTCCTCCATCTTTGGGTACAGTGACCCACATCGTGGGTAAGTTTTTACGGGGACCTTTAACACGTGTTCAGATATGTTATATTTCTTGGATGATATATACAGTGACTGTACCCTAAAGTACATGTGAGAATGTTACAGTTCTGCAGGTGGAAAGTACAGTACCTTTACTCTGAAGGATGGGTGAGGATGTTGCAGTTCTTGAAGTGGGTAGTACAGTGCCTGTCGTCTGAAGGATGAGTGAGGATCCAATGCTAAACAACACCCCCCCCCACTCTTCAAAGACCTAAACCTACTCGCTGTGCTAAACATTCACACCTACTACTGTGCAACCTACATTTACAGAACCATAAATTCTAATATTAACCCCTTCACTGTCCAAACGTAGATCTACGTTGTTACTTTTAGCACTCCAAGCATAGATCAGTATTTTATTTTTCCTGCCTCCAAATTTCCCACAATTGGCCTGAGATGCCTGGTCAGTATAGAATGGGTCTTAACACTTGGTGTGTGCAGTATTACAAAAATCTGGGACCACTTAGAACCTTGTGGGAGCACCAGTTCAATTGAGTGCCAGCTAGAGCAAACACCAGGGATTCACTGGTGTCATGTCGTGTTAATGCTCCTCTTTTAAGAGGAAAGTGATATTGACCCTGAGTTTAGTGGCTTTCAGATGGATGTGACCACAAGTGGTTGAGGAAATAATAAAAACTCCGGCCTATTGATACAGCTAACAAGATAAATGACTTCTTCTCAAACATAGGATCAAATCTCTCCAGTAAAATTCCAATTATCAATGCCCAAGGTAATGATTATCTAGATGGAAACTTCCCAACATCCCTCTATCATACACCAACAGAGCCCTCTGAGGTTACCATCATTATTAACTCTAAAAACAAATCAGGAAATGTAACCCAAGTACCACCACTGTTGTACAAACGAGCGATTCAAATCCTTTCACCCACCATTGCATTACTCTTGAACAAATCACTAACCAATACTTTCCCGGCATCACTCAAAATAGCAAGTATTACACCAACACACAAAGGTGGTGACCCAACAGATGTAAACAGCTATACGTCAATATCAAACTTGCCTTTACTTTCCTAAATTTTTGAGAAACTCATACACAAAAGGTTATATTCCTTCATAACATCACAAATCATCCTCAATCCCGGCCACTTTGGCTTCAGGAGGAACAAAAGCACAAATGACACAATAATAAAAATGCTAGACCTACTTTACACAGCACTTGAAAAAACGAATACCCGCTTGGACTTTATTGACCTTAAGAAAGCTTTTGATACAGTAGACCACAGCATCCTACTCCTCAAGCTTCTTCAGTACAATATAAGAGGCCATGCACTTGAATATATTAAGTCGTACCTTACTAATAGAAAGCAATACATCCCAAAGACAGCCTCCTCAACAAGACCCCTGGACACTGGTGTACCACAGGGAAACATTCTTGGTCCCTTCCTTTTCCTTTTATACATCAACGATCTTCCAAGCATATCACAACAACTTGCACCTCTATGCTAACAATACGTCTTTTGTCATCTCTCACACTAATCTAGCCTCACTCAATACTATTGCTAATGAAGAGGTTACAAAAATAGTAACCTGGATGGCTGTCAATAAACTTACACTTAATATAGACAAAACTTTTACATTATGACTCACGAAATCGTAATGACACAATTGTAAGCAAACCATACCACGGGATGGTTTCTTTTACATTATGTTTGGGAGTAGAGCCAGTGAGGACCAACTAAACATTATGCTTAACAACATCCTTATGGCTAAACATAATCAGGGAAAATTTCTGGGTCTACACCTTGACATCAACCTGAAATTCAACACCCATATCCAACACAACAAAAAAAGTATCTAAAACAGTTGTCATCGTTTCAAAGATACGTTGCTACGTACCACAGACAGTACTACTTACACTATACTCTTCACTGAGCTACCCCTACCTCACCTTGGCAGTTTGTGCCTGGGGCTCCATAACAACTCACCTAAAGTCAGTAATAACCCAACAAAAAGCTGCAGTGTGAATGATCTCACATTCCACAGCTAGACAACACCCCCCCTGCCCCCCACTCTTCAAACACCTAAATCTACTCACCATACAAAACATCCACTCTACTACTGTGCAAACTACATTTACAGAACAATAAATTCTAACATAAATCCTGACCTGAAGTGCTTTCTTGACAGTTGCAATAGGACCCATGGACACAACACCAGACACAAAAATCTCTCTGACATTCCCCATGTCAAGCTAAATCTTTTCAAAAACTCAGTGTATTTAAAAGGACCCAAATCTGGAACTCTCTGCCAGAAATCTCCAGAACCACTGGATCAGCTAGCATTTTTAACCCTTTGACTGTTTCAGGCCCCTTTCTGAAACTGTCATTCTGTCGCCAAATATTCGAAAAAAAAAAAAATTTTCTTATGAAATGATAGAGAAGTTTTTCCCGATGGTAATGACACCAAAAGTTCGAAATTTGGTCGAAAACTCACGGAATTACACTCCTGCGAAGTTAGCGGAATTGGCGACATATGTGTATCGGAGATTTCACCGACTTTGAGCCCTGTTTTCAGCCAATTTCGTTGTTCCAGTTGATCAAACTCATAGCTATTTCTTTAGAACTCCATTTTATCTATCAGCTGAGTACAAGAAACTCCCCATTTACCAATTTGAACTACCCAATTTAGTGGTCAGAAATTGGCAATTTGGCCAATTTCACGCAAATTAAAAAAGATGCCAATTTCAAAATAGGGTCCAGAATAAACAAGGTAGACATTCTTGGCACTAAAATAGCATATCCTCTGTTCATTAGTCACATCTCTAGGCCCCTCTTATATTATTATTGCTTTCTATTTTGATTTTTTATTCATACAAAAAAATACAAAATTTACTGTTATGCAGACAACTGCATTATTGTAAAAATGGTATAAATAATATCAGTGCACTAGTGAAAGAATATTAGACTCCCCAGTTGACGTGTATTGGACGTGTGGTGTGATTTGTTTACTCCTGAACATGGGTAAAAATCGAACATTTCCGCTAATTTGAGCTCAGTTTCAAGGTCGTTTTCATCATCAAAGTAATGAAAATCATCTCTATTTCTGTAATATGTTTTCCATTTTATCACCTAAGACCATGAAAACGCGAATACAACGATAAATACTATACGAAAATACACCTCAAAGTCGGCGTTTTATTCCAAAAAAACGATCAGAGTTTTTTTTTTCTCATTACGCAATGTGTGCTGCAGGATTTTTTTTATGTGGTGCACACTGACCACACAGACCCATTCTCTCACATGTGGGCCTACCAGCTTTCTCCTGCTTGATTTGAAGCCGCTAGAATTATTGAGTATATATACGTCAGAAACATTGGCTCGTAAGACGTATTTATACGTCGAAAACAGTCAAAGGGTTAAAACTACAGTTAGAAAACACCTTACCTTCCTAACCTATCCCAGCCCAACATAAATATGTAAAAACCATATGTGCATTTGCTCATTATTATGAACCTAGGTAAAACAATATCTGTAATCCTCTCAAATGTAATGTTAATCTTTTCATTGTGTCCACCTCAGGTTAATCATCAAAACTGTAATTATTCTCTACCAAACTTATTAACCCATAAACGGTCCAAGCAGATCTACGTTCACATGTGTAGTGCTACAAAAGTCTACGTTCACATGTGTAGTGCTACAAAAGTCTACGTTCACATGTGTAGTGCTACAAAAGTCTACGTTCACATGTGTAGTGCTACAAAAGTCTACGTTCACATGTGTAGTGCTACAAAAGTCTACGTTCACATGTGTAGTGCTACAAAAGTCTACGTTCACATGTGTAGTGCTACAAAAGTCTACGTTCACATGTGTAGTGCTACAAAAGTAGATATAAGTTTTTTTTACATATTTTCAAATATACCAAAAAAAAAAAGTAGATCAAAGTTTTTTTTACACATTTTCAAATATAGAAAAACAAAAAGAAGATCTACTTTTTTTACATACTTTCAAATGTTGAAAAAACGTATATATACGTTTGGACCGTTTGCGGGTTAAAACCATATAACATGAACTAATAAAATATTCAATTTTCTTGTAATCATTGTAACTCACCTAATGACCATATATGTAGTTATTACACCGATATTTCCTTATTAATCTTAAGTTAGTCTTAAGTTTGCCCAAAATGCTCTGCATATAAAGGAGTTTTTGGCATGTACAACGAATTGTTATACTCCTTTGTACAAACATGTATCATGCTAAAATAAAAATTTATTATTATTATTATTATTATTATTATTATTATTATTATATAGAGAACTTTTACTGCATGTATAAGTACAAAAAAGTACCTAAATTACTGGGAATGGGTGAAGTTCCTTGACGTATTCTCCCTGGAATGCAGGCAAGAAACATACATAATATACACATGGAAAATCCTAAAGGGATTAGTCCCAAATCTTCACACAAAAATCACTCCCTATGAAAGTAAAAGACTTGGCAGGCGATGCAACATCCTTCCCCCCAGTAAAAGCTGGGGTGACAAGACTGCTAAGAGACAAAATAAGTCTCAGGGGCCCAAGGCTGTTCAACAGCCTCCCAGCATACGTAAGGGGGATTACCAATAGACCCCTGACTGTCTTCAAGAAGACACTGGACAGGCACCTATAGTCAGTACCTGACCAGCCGGGCTGTGGTTCATACATTGGTTTACTTCCAGCCAGCAATAGCAGCCTGGTTGATCAGGCCCTGATCCACCACGAGGCCTGGTCATGCACCCCCGGAACCCTCTCCAGGTATACTCCAGGTATCTTGCTGCTAAGTTCAGAATCTTTCTTCTTTCTTTCAACGCACCAGCCGTATCCCACCGAGGCAGGGTGGCCCAAAAGGAAAAACGAAAGTTTCTCTTTTTACATTTAGAAATATATACAGGAGAAGGGGTTACTAGCCCCTTGCTCCTGGCATTTTAGTCGCCTCTTACAACACGCATGGCTTACAGAGGAAGAATTCTGCTCCACTTCCCCATGGAGGTAAGAGGAAATAAACAAGAACAAGAACTAGTAAGAAAATAGAAGAAAACCCAGAGGGGTGTGTATATATATGCTTGTACATGTATGTGCAGTGTGACCTAAGTGTAAGTAGAAGTAGCAAGACATACCTGAAACCTTGCATGTTTATGAGACAGAAAAATGGGCACCAGCAATCCTACCATCATGTAAAACAATTACAGGCTGTCATTTTACACTCACTTGGCAGGACGGTAGTACCTCCCTGGGTGGTTGCTACCAACCTACTACCTAGTAAGTTCAGAATATGTTTCCATTATTTCCTGATCTTACTCCTAAGTTTCAAATTATTTTTATTTTAACACATCAAACATTTTCCACCAAGGCATTGTAGCTCCAAAAAGAAGAAACACTTTCATCATCATTCACTCAATCACTTTCTTGCCAGAGGTGCACCTACACTACATTTCAAAAACCACAACATCCTCACTTATCCTTCAGAGTACCGGCACTGTACTTCCCACCTCCAGGACTCAAGTCTGGCTAACCATTTTCCCTGAATCTCTTCATAAATGTTACTTTGCTCACACTCCAACAGCACACAAAGTCCTAAAAGCCATTTGTCTCTACTCCTATCAAACACGTTCATACACTTATGCTGAAAGTCCAAACCCTTCGCACATAAAACCTTTACCCCCTCCAGCCTTTCCTAGGATGACCCCTACCCCACCTTGATTCCACTACAGATCTTTTCACCCTCCAAGTCATTTTATTTCGCTTCATCCTCTCTAAATGTGTGAACCACCTCAACAACTCCTGTGCCTGCTGAATAATACTTTTTGAAACCGAACACCTCCTCTTAATCTCCAAGCTATGGATTCTCTGCATAATATTCACACCACACATTGCCCTCAGACATGACATCTCCACTGCCTCCAGCCTTCTCCTTGTTGCAACATTCATCACCCATGCTTCACACACGTATAAGAGCTTTGGTACCACTATACACTCATTTCCCTATTTGCTTCCATGGATAATGGTCTTTGTCTCCACAGACTCCTCATTGCACCACTCACCTTTTTTTCCCTCATCAATTCTATGCTTCACCTCATCTTTCATAGACCCATCTGCTGACAAGTCCACTCCCAAATATCTGAACATATTCGCTTCTTCCATACTCCCTCCAGTCTGATATCCAATCTTTCATTACCTAATGTTTTTGTTCTTATCATCTTGCTCTTTCCTATGTTCACTTTTAATTTCCTTCTTTCACATGCCCTCCCAGATTCGTCCATCAACCTCTGCAACTTCTCTTCAGAATCTCCCAAAAGCAGAGTGTCATCAGTAAAAAGCAACTGTAACAACTCTCACTTTGTGTTACATTCTTTATCTTTTAACCCCACACCTCTTGCTAACACCTGAGCATTCACTTCTCTTACAACCCCACCTATAAATACATTGAACAACCATGGTGACATCACATATCCCTGTCTAAGGCCTACTTTTACTAGGAAATAATCTCCCTCTCTCCTACATACTCTAACTTGAGCCTCATTATCCTTGTAAAGACTCCTCACTGCTTTCAGTAACCTACCACCTCTTCCATACACCTGCAATATCTGCCACATTGCTCTCCTATCCATCCAGTCATATGCCTTTTTCCAAATCTATAAATACAATAAAAACCTCTTTTCCCTTTTGTAAATACTGTTCACCTATATGCTTCTTTGTAAACACTTGGTCTACACACCTCCTATCCTTCCTAAAGCCTCCTTGTTCATCTGCAATCCTGCTCTCCATCTTACTCTTAATTCTTTTCATAATAACTCTACCATTGTTTTCCTGATCTTACTGCTAAGTTCAGAATATAATTCCATTACTTTCTTAATCTTACTGCTAAGTTCCAAATATATTTTTTTTATTTTACTGTTATTAATGCAAAGTTCCGAATATATTACCACTATTTTCCTGATCTTACGGCAAAGTTCAGAATATTTGTGGTGGTTACAGTGGTTCAGAGGATGGTGACGATCTGGATAATTATCACCGCCATGATGGAGGGTTCACCACCCTCGACCCTCGGTCCATGATGGATCATATCTTCAAGAGCTTCAGTTGGGGCATCAGCGGATCACTGTTTGGTGGATATCAAGGTTGGTCAAACTTAATGACTGTGTTATTGCCTTCGGAGGGCCATGATGGTAGGGCAGGGCTCTTGATCTGAGGTGTTTGAGTTGCCTCAACTTCCTTGGGTCAGGTTTTATTGTGTCCTGTTTTCCAGGAGCTTTACAAGCCTAATAAAGTCACTTCTCTTATAAAGTTCCTCTGTATGTATTCAGTTCTCTTATAAAGCTCTTCTGTATACAGTCAGTTCTCTTATAAAGCTCCTCTATATACTATATATATGGGACATTAAATTCCAGTGTAAAGCTCTTGTAAGCTCCTGGACATCCCACTTGTCCAACTCCACCTCTCAGACATTTTCTGTGTCCAACTCCACCTTCTGGACATCCCCTGTGTCTAACTCCACCTGCTGGACATACCCTGTGTCCAACTCCACCTCCCAGACATCCCCCATATCCAGTTCTGTTTTTATTCTTCCTTCACTGTTCCTTCAGTTCTATCACTGTTCTTCCTTCAGTTACCATAGAAAATTGGTAACATCTTGTTCAATAACAATAATAATAATAGTAATAACAACAGTAATAAAGTTGTTAATGTTTGACAGAGTCTGATGGGTTGACTGACAGTGCTGACGACTCTGGTCAACCCAGTGCTGATGCTGTCAGGAAAGAGGACTCTGATCTTGATGACAGGTGAGTCATCCAGTGAATCAGTCTGTCAGATAAGTTAGTTTTTATTTAGATCTCATTCCTAGTCTTAAGGATTTATAATATACAGTCAGTTCTCTTATAAAGCTGACTGCACAGTTTTCTAATGTTTCAGTGCGTTGTTTTTCTGACAGGATAACTGGGGGACTGTCCCAGTTACTAAAGGATGGACCACGTTACTGGTATGGAGCAACCGGTGACTCTGGCCAGGGTGATCCCAGTTACATACAGTCAGAGACTGTCCAGCCTCAGCCAGGCGTACATCACAGTTACCGCTCAACCTCTATTGTTAGGATCCGACGACCCGATGGAGTAAGTGACTGTTTTGTTCTGGAGAATCATCCTTCATATATACAGTCAACTTGCTTGTAAAGTACCTCTACATACAGTCAACTCTCTTATACAGCTCCTCTATATACAGTCTCTCCTCATTTACCAACGTACGCGTTTACCGGCAACTCAGAGTTACTACGGGTTCTCTGATAAGTCGGTATTGTATGCCATATGAGAACTTGGGTCATGGAAATGGGCAGCGCGGCATCTCAATCTTCTTCCTACAGCGACTCAGTACACTAACTTTCACTCTCCAAGACTACATATTTGTACTTTATTGTGCACCCCATAGTACAAGATAGAGTTAGAAGAAATGGAAGTACAAAAGAAGTTCACTGTAAAGGGGTTAACCGATGTGTTTGTCTGTGTTTATATTCTCTGCATCTCTCGTTGCAGCTTAAGAAATGATTAACCTCAGTGAACAAGGTATGTCGATGGTAATAATAATAATAATAATAATAATTTCTCCAGAGCAGTTGTTATATATGTATTATTTTTTTTTTATTTTTTTTTTTTCAACAAGTCGGCCGTCTCCCACCGAGGCAGGATGACCCAAAAAAGAAAGAAAATCCCCAAAAAGAAAATACTTTCATCATCATTCAACAGTTTCACCACACTCGCACATTATCACTGTTTTTGAATGTCATATGCTTTTCATATAGGTTTGGTAGCTGACATTTACAGCACTCCAGAGCAATTATTGTTATTATTAATTATTATTATTATTATTATTATTATTATTATTATTATTATTATTATTACCATCGACATACCTTGTTCACTGAGTTTAATCAGTTGTTAACCCCTTCAGGGTTGGCAGACCCTCTCCCAAACCTGTTCTCAGGGTCAGAAAAAATTTAAAAAAAAAAAAAAAAAATTCTTTTGAAAAAAGTTGATTTTTTCTAAACATTATAGGCTAAACAAAAAATTTTTGCCATCAATACTTACTGAGATATGGAGGCGTGAAGTTGACAGAAAATGACCAGCATACGGCAACATTGCCAACTGCTGGTCACCTGGTAATTGTTTATTTTGTTTTTTTGGTACTTTTTTTCTATTATTTTGAAACTTTTTTTCAAGTAACTTTTATGGCCTGTGAGACCAATATGAGCACTATTTTGTAAGTTTTTTCTCTTTCTATACTACACAATAACTGCACAAACACTGTTGTCACTATATTGTTTACAAAACTTGTTTACACAAACAAACAATATAAAATGTTGTTTATTACTATTTTTCTATATTTTATATACACATATACAGTCACAGGACATGTTTCTAGAAGTTCTGCAGCCTGTGGAAGTCTTTGAAACATGGTGTCATGCACAGTGGTGTTGTACATTCCTCACACATAAAACGAGTGTCTCTGTGTTGTTGTGGGCGTTTTTTTTTGCATGTGCACACACGTAACACCTCTTCTGAGCCTTTTTCTTGAAAGCAGTAGCAGGCAGTTTTGTTAGGAAGTGATCACCGTGCTTCAGACGAGAAGGTAGTTGTTGATAATTTTGTGGTACTTGATTATTACAGTGGACCCCCGCATAGCGATATTAATCCGTGCAAGAGGGCTGATTGTTATGCGAAATTATCGTTATGCGAATGAATTTTCCCCATAAGAAATAATGGAAATCAAATTAATCCGTGCAAGACACCCAAAAGTATGAAAAAAAAATTTACCACATGAAATATACATTTTCCTACACACAAAGAGAAGGATACATGCACAATAGTAGAGTAGTACATGCACAATATATATTGTGCATGTACTACTCTACTAAATGAAGAATAAATGACACTTACCTTTATTGAAGATGCAGCAATGACTGATGAGACACTGTGTCCTGGGAGTGCCTTTTCCTCCTGAGTACTGTAGGTCCTGTTTGGTATTTTCTTCCAGAACAGGCCTTATCACACTGTGAATGCCACTACGATTCTTAAATCTCTCAAACCAACCTTTGCTGGCTTTAAATTCACTAATATGAGCACTAGTTCCAGGCATTTTTCCCTGTTCACCTGGTTGTTGGTCGACTGGTGTGGGTTGCATCCTGGGAGACAAGATTAAGGACCCCAATGGAAATAAGTTAGACAGTCTTCGATGACACTGACTTTTTTGGGTTATCCTGGGTGGCAAATCCTCTGGGGTTAATTGTTTCTTGGTATTCTCAATAAGCCACACCAACAACGGTGCTACAGCAGCAGCAGCAGCAGCTGACAGTGCTACAGCAGCAGCAGACGATGCTACAGCAGCAGCAGCAGCTGACGGTGGTACAGCAGCAGCAGCAGCTGACAGTGCTACAGCAGCAGCAGACGATGCTACAGCAGCAGCAGACAATTCTACAGCAGCAGCAGACGGTACTACAGCAGCAGCAGCAGCTGACGGTGGTACAGCAGCAGCAGCAGCTGACAGTGCTACAGCAGCAGCAGACGATGCTACAGCAGCAGCAGACGATGCTACAGCAGCAGCAGATGGTACTACAGCAGCAGCAGACGGTACTACAACAGCAGCAGCAGCAGCTGACGGTGGTACAGCAGCAGCAGCGGCTGACAGTGCTACAGCAGCAGCAGACGATGCTACAGCAGCAGCAGACGGTACTACAGCAGCAGCAGACGGTACTACAACAGCAGCAGCAGCAGCTGACGGTGGTACAACAGCAGCAGCAGCAGCTGACGGTGGTACAACAGCAGCAGCAGCAGCTGACAGTGCTACAGCAGCAGCAGACGATGCTACAGCAGCAGCAGACGGTACTTCAGCAGCAGCAGCAGCTGACGGTGGTACAGCAGCAGCAGCAGCTGTACCACCAATAGTAGCGATGGTTGATTGGGGTTTATTATACAACCTGGCCAGCTCGGAGACACGCACTCCACTTTCATACTTATCAATGATCTTTTTCTTCATCTCTATAGTAATTCTCACCCTTATTGCTGTAGGGTTGGCACTAGAAGCTTTCTTGGGGCCCATGGTCACTTATTTTGCAGATAAAATCACCAAAAAACACTGTAATAATACGAAATGTTCCGATTGTATGCTTGGATGTTACCGTGGAGGCTGGCTGGTAAACAATGCCACCGGCGGAACATGTGAGGCTGGCTAAGGGCGCACATTAGACGCGTCTCAGACGAACAGCGTTGATCGGTTTTTTTCGCGGTATGCGAGGCAAAATCTTGGCGATAAAATGTAGCGGTATGCGGATTTAACGTTATGCAAGGCCAACGGTATGCGGGGGTCCACTGTATTTGTCTGATGACTGACAAACAAAATTCGCCATATGGTGGTTTGTTTCTGGTCCTCATCTTATACATAATTATAAGCATTGAGCATGGAAATGTCCAGAATATGGAAAAAGAGTTTTATGTACCACTTATAACTCTTGCAAACACAGTCAGCAAACCCAGTCTGCATGTCACATTTGTCCACTGAATGCATATTGAGGATGTAGTCAATCACAACTGCAGGTTTTAGAATGGGTTCATTGCTCTTTCTATGTTGCCTACCAGTGTCTGCCATTTCGTTAGGGTGAACTGATGACAACAGTGTGACATCTCGTTTGTCATGCCACCGAAATGCCATGATGTCATTTGCAGCAAATGCCTGCACCTCACCTCTACGAGTGCCAGTGTTGAACCTGGGCATATGTTTATGATTTGCACGCACTGTGCCACACACATCTGTCATGTTCACTCACAAGAAATCACTGAGTAAGGGGCTTGTGTACCAGTTATCAATATATAATATATGTCCCTTACCATCAGTGGTTCCATCATTGTTCTAACCACATCACCAGAGATACCCAGTAACTTCCTTGTATCTTCCAATGTATTACTTCCAGTGTACACAATTATATCCAATACAAGACCACTGTAGCGATCACAAAGCACAAACAACTTTATACCAAAGCATTTCCTCTTGCTTGGTATGTACTGCTTGAATGAGAGTCTTCCTTTGAACAAAATCAAAGACTCATCAATAACAAGGTTCCTGAAGGGATAAAAAATACATATTGAATTTCTGTTTCAGATACACAAACACATTCCTAATCTTATATAACTTGTTGTTTCTGTCGGGCCTGGTTTTGTCTGAGAAGTGAAGCATACATAGTAGCACAAATCGATTCACTCCCATTATATCACTGAAACCTGTGGTTGCAATCAGCCAGTCTATTGACCAGTATGATTTCACACTGTGCTTGTTAGGTAAGACACATATGCAACAGTTAGGTATCTTTATTTCGAAACGTTTCGCCTACACAGTAGGCTTCTTCAGTCGAGTACAGAAAAGTTGATAGAAGCAGAAGATACTTGAAGACGATGTAATCAGTCCATCACCCTTAAAGTTTTGAGGTGGTCAGTCCCTCAGTCTGGAGAAGAGCATTGTTCCATAGTATGAAACAATATGGAGATGAAGAAGCCTACTGTGTAGGCGAAACATTTCGAAATAAAGATACCTAACTGTTGCATATGTGTCTTACCTAACAACCTGTCGGTATTTTATACCATTTTAATGTTCACACTGTGCTTATACACATGTGGCATAAGCATTGTTGTGGCAAACAAAAGATACATCTCAGCCACAGTTGTCTCCTTCCACTGATGTAGGCGTGATTTTGGTGAAAGAATTGTGTTTGCCATGGTGTACTTGAAGTATGTGTTGCTTTCCCTGACAATAATTTCCATCAGGGGTTCGTCAAAGAATAACTCAAAACATTCCAGTTCAGTGGTATTGTTCTCAAGTGTACAAGTGTATTGTTCTCAAGTGTACAAGTGTTCCAATTTGGCTTTCATCAAACTGATAGGGATTTGGAACCTAATTGGCAGCTTCCTGCCAATCCCAGGTGCAGTCTGCTGGTGGGTACTGGATATTGACAGGTGGGTGTGGTTGTGGAGGCTGGTGTGGTAGGTGGGTGGGGGATGGTGGCCTTTGCTATAGATCAGCTGAGGCAGCAGCGTGGGTGGCAGCATGGCCCACTGCTGGTGCCTCGCGGCTG